TCCATGCCAAAGACTTGCCAGACAAACATTTGATTACATTGTTCAATTCATGAACATATGTTGAACACATTGTTAAGGAACACTTTGTGTACCACAACTTCCTGTGGCCTCAAAAGTTTGCAGGCCAAATGGTTGACAGAACACTTGGTGACCACAATATTTTTGTGGGCCAACATATGTTGAATATATAACTAAGGAGAACTCTGGACTACAGTGTCCTGTGGCCTCATAATTTTGCAGGCCAAATATTTGACAGAAAAAGTGCATAAGCCAACATATTTTGAACAATTATAGCCAAGGGAAATGTTGGGAGTACAATTTCCTTGGGCCTCGGCATGTTGCAGGCCAAATGTTTGACACCAGGCGTTGGTGAGCACGAAGTTTTATGGGTCAACATACGTTGAACACGGGTTAAACAATTTTCTGGACTACCATGTCCAGAGGCCTCAAATTTCACAGTCCACATATTTGACAGAAACAATGGTGACGGCTTTTTTTATGGGACAACATATTTTGAGAACTCGATTCAAGCACTTTGGACTACGATTTCCTGTGGCCTCAAGATGTTGCAAGCCAAATAGTTGACAAACACAATTCATGACTACAACTTGTTTGTAGGTGAACATGATGTGAAAACTCAAAAATAAGGACAGATATCGGGACTACAGCTTTCTGTGGCCTCAAAATTTGCAGCCTAAATATCTGTCAGATAAATTGGTGACTGCATGTTTTTATTGGTGAACGTATTTTGGCAAAATAATTGTGATGGATGACACCCTTTACCCAATAGGTCCTGGGCCCACCAAATTTTGAGTTTTCTGGCTTACTAGGCATCAAGCAAATAGGTCCTCAACTTGTAGTTCAAGTTTGTTTTTTTTGACTGGGCCTCCACAAAAACAACATAATGTTGCTCCACTGTCACAAGGGAAACAACAATGTAGCAGCCCCTCGTGGGTACTTTATATTTATGGATAGACATTTCAACATACATTAACGCAGACACGCGTAAACCAACGTGTTGTCATACGTACACACAAAACAATATGTAACACTATCCCTATTCAAATATAGCCTTAGCATAGACATAATATGTGTGTTTGTCTATATATACCATATTTAGACGCAGGTAGTTTTGGAACTGAACAAATCCAAAACAGGTGCCGCGGGAAAAACATGTGCAGAAACATGATTGAACTGGCCTTGTGTCAAATCAATAGAAACTGCAGATGAAACTGCATATTCCAAATCAATAGAAACTACAGCGCCCAAATCAATAGAAGCTATGCAGTGTCAAATCACTAAAGTCTTAAAATCCGGGCTTAAAGAAATACCTTGATTATATCAATAGAAACCGACGAAAACAATATCAATAAAAACATACTGACTTCTATTGATTAGAATCCATAGCCGATGTCCAGGGTATCTGCTGGAGGGTGGCACACGAGGACCGCCAGCGATTCGGGGAAGAGTACAGCTTGAGTTGGATGAGACACAGCTTGACTGGATCTTCGGCACGTGCTATGGAGTTTACGCTCCAGTTGCGGCACGCGCTCCCGTTCACAATCGCCTCCCGTTCATTTACCAGAGCGCAATCAAACACCTGTGGCGATTGGTGCAGAATAAGGCAAAGAATCCCGCGGCAAGTCGTTTCTCGTGGTACTGTTCGTGCCAACAAAGTCTTTGACCGCGCGCGGTGCGTATGCGACTCCGACCGGTGCGATCGTCGCCAAAACCCAGGTTTCATTCAAGGAATTGATGGGAGCGTGGTGCGCCAGGCCCGGACACCGCAAGGTTCGCCTTGAGGCTGCGCAAGGTTCGCCTTGAGGCTGTGATGCTTCCATCCTTCATCTGGGAAACGCCGTTGGCGCCGGTTCAGATTCCTGCTGACATGCAGGGATTGACAGACTTTGTAGAATCTCCAGGTGATTTCTGAAGTACTTGCCTTCTGACGAATACTTCCGACATCTTCCCAGTACACTTGATCAATGGAAGGCGATTTGGATCAGGGCCCGGAATGGACTCAACGACGGCCTGCCGCGCACGTATCATGACACGACAATCGAGGAGCACGTTGATATGAAGGCCGTCATTCACTTGATGGGATTGTTCAGCCTTGGCCGCTACCCTATATTGGTGGAGATGTTCGGGACGGATAATCTATGGAAGAACCATCAAGACGCACAAGACTCCCGAGTTGCGTGCGTCGAGAAACAACGCGTTGGACCAGTTGTTTGATGTTTTCAACATGGTGGTTCCAATCAAACTTTGAAGGTGTGAAGGGCGCCAAGCACATCCCTTTCGCCTGGATGAGCGCGGCGATAAAAGTACTATCCAAGATCTCCTGTTGATGAGCTACCACGGAATGAAGTTCAGTCCAATTCTGCGGACTCAGTGGGAGAACTACCACAGGTTGAAGGCGCAGGGACTGACAATTCAGACCCGGACAACTATGGACGACCCTCATCGGCGAAACGGAAAAAGGTGGGCGAACGGGTCTGGGGAACCCTGATCCACTAGCCCAGCTGACCGCGATGCCGCACCCTCAACCGGACCGCCAAACAAAGGACATGGCGGTTGTTCTAAATTCCTTTGTCTCGAAACGGCCATTCTTCGCGAATAAAAGAGTTACTTGCGCGAATCTTTTGCGGATTCATCGCCGTGCCCTTTTCCTTGCTCAAGTCAGAAAATCGCAGCTTTTAAATGCCAGTGCAGTGCGCGAAATCCGATTCCCCAACTCCAGCTGTAAAGTCGCAACTTTCATAACAGTGGTAGTACATGACATGCACCGGCTGGAAAGACGCAGCTTTTCGTAAGCCGTGCAGCTCCAGCTTAAAGTCGCAACTTTCCAGTACCAAACCGGCACATTGACTAGCGCGGCGCTCCGAAAGTATCCCCCTTACAATCGAAGCCTGCGATTTCGCGCGGTCTTTCGCGGATCTTTCGCGGAAGTTTCGCGAAAAATCACCCACGTTTCTGAGCGGAAAGCCACCGACTAAACACCCACAGACATACATGCACAGGCTTGGGCACTAACCAGCCAAGCAGGGTATCAAACCAGGCTGTATCAGCACAAAATCCAACAGTGTTTTAATCAGCGTAGAAGGAAGGCTCAGCGGCAAAGATGAATGGTTTCACATATCATTGATTTACAAGACACAGCTACGCAAAACTTTCGCGAGAAAAAAAGTTACTTTCGCAACTCCATCGCGAATCGTTCGCGGAGCTGCTCCAATGGTCACCGAATACTAAACTCCTTGCAAGGACCTTTTCACATGCCTTCAGGGGATAAGTTGGAGGCTGTAAATGGCCCTCAAGGCTGCGTTCAGCACGCGCGCGAAATCTGCTGCTCAGAGATGTATGACATGGGGGCCGTGCTCAAGTTACGCTCATAGCGCTTTTCGCCAAGCTTGTGTGAAGCTTCAGGCTTGTTTTGCGTCTATCCTTTTGCGGCATTTTTTCCGTACAAGAGTACCCTTCCATTGAGCCACACTGTTGATAGAAAGTACGCGAGTGAGAACTGAACTTGAAGCAAGGGAAGAAAGCGGTTGGGGTTGCGGATGGAACTCAACAATGGGAATGTTCAGCCAACGATGACACGGCAACAAGCGCAAGCTGCACAAGCTTGAAAGTCAAAAAATTCAGAGGGGGAGATCTGCGTGCTGAAAAGTGAAATGCGGCGTGAAACCCACACAGCGTGCGAGACTTTCCGTCACATCAAGCCGAAATGCTGGTGGGAAGTATGAAAGTTCAATAATCAAAAGGAAGTGCGGCGGCTGGCTTTGGGGCTGCAGCTTGACCATGTCACGGGCCATCGTGACGATGGAGCGTGGTCTCAAGGAGGTGTTGGATACTAGCCTTAAAACGCAAGAGCAAAACAGGAATTGAACCGTCTCTTCTGAGGACGCTGACTTCGCTCGTCGAACCCCTGGGAAAATGGGACCTCCCACAAGCCTTCCTTGCGTTACTCCGAGAGCATGCTATACGCAAAGGTCTGCGTTTGTATGGCGCGCGCGTGGCTGAGCCTGGTCGCGCGGGGCATCAGCACCGGCAAAGCGCCAAAACACAAAAAAGTAATGCGTTTATGAGAAACCGAGGGGTTTCTTTGCTACCCTGACAACACTGGATGTGTTGTCCCCTCGGATAGAGTGCGGGGGCTCGAATATCCTCGAAACAGCGCTCGATCCGCAAGCTCGATCTTTTGTGTCTATGCCGGCTATGATCCGCAATCAAGGTTAGGGATCTAAGCTAACAGTTGAACCTTGAGCCAAACGGTTGCATGGGTGTATGATGGTATTTCACATCGGTGGCCCTTACCCTATTCACACCCCCCACGCAGTATGCCTCATTCTGAGACATCTGCGCAGAGGCGTTGAAATTGTGTCTTAAACATTTCACCTAGAGTTCACGTCGTGTCGGTTCTCGATTGTTTGTTCTACAAAATCTCGCGTCGTGAAACGCTCGAACTTCACTGCTCTTCTGCAGCGGCTGAATTAATGCGGAAACTGGACCTGACCTAGCGTGGAAAGTTGCACTGGGCACTAACGTTCCGATGAACGGTAACATCCTCTCCGTACCTTAGGGCAGACACATCGGCGCTGCCTAACTCGGTTGTCGATGCAGAAGAGGCCCGGCTGGTCCGCACCTTTTCCTTGATTTCTCAGAACTCTCGGTTTGTTAAACGATCCCGATTTCCCTGCGCTGTTGCACTTTGAGGAATTAGGCTGATAAACTGATCACCAGTACTCATCCCATCCACCGTGGTAACCGTACCACTGTGCATCACGCACGTCAGTGCGGTCCCGCAGCAAGGCGCAAGACCTTTACTGTCTTTCTCTCAAGACGTGGTTCCAATGTTGGGCTTTGGATTTAGTGAACGCATGTGCATTTCGGTCTCGCACGTATCACGTGCCCGTGCATGCATGCGCGAGTTGAATGTACTGGTAACATGAAGGTTTGTCGCGATAGTCAAACCAAAATGGCGCTGAAGGCAAGATTAAGGTGGGCATCTTTGTTGGCTCATGCGTCCAATCGGTATAGAAGCTACCGGACACGCTTCGGATGCTATGGCAGAGCAAGTGACCAGAGGAGCCTTCAGGCCAACTGGCGCGCTGTTTTTGGATGGTACAGCCCTAAACGGACAGCAGCGCACTCAAGATGGGTTTGTAGTGCCAATTGCGTATGCCTGGTCGCCAGGTCATGATGTCGAGCGTGCAACCGACCGCGGCAATGGCTCAATCTCCAAATCCGTACACACGCATGAGTATGGACTCCCCATGCGGCTCACCATCTTCAATGGCGACGCAGGTGCGATGTTTGTCATGTGTTTCGGCTTGGCTCCAGCGGCTCCGGCTCAGGTGGAGCTTCTGGTGCAGACCCGCCGCTCCTTCCTTGAAGCCGTCGAGGTGAACCACAGCACTGCAGAAGTGAAGCGCAGGGCATCCTGCCCGGCCTTCTCGCGGGTCACGTGGTCAGTCGCAGGATCCAGGCAATGGCGCATGGTGCCTCGGACCAGCCAGGGGCTTGTAGTGCAAAACTTCAAAGAAACTTGAACAGGTGAGTTTCAGCCGCTTCGGCTTTCTTCGGATGCACATGTGTTTCGGCCTTTTCATGTTGGCGAGGTACTTGATATCCACTGCGCCTCAAGCACGCCGTTCCCAGGCTACCGAGATCTGCCATCACTGGCGCATGTCGCAACATGGGGAACCCTCTCTGGCAGCTGGGGCTTGCCTCCAGACAACCCTTTGTGGCATTATGCCCAAGGGGTGCTGGTACAGGGCATGCCGAGGAAATGCAAGCCCACAGACGTGTCCGCCATGCTGGACAAGTTTGTAAACAATACTGACATAAGGATTTCCCACATGTTGGAGATGCCAATGAATAGAGATGGCACCTCCAGAGGCTTTGCTTTTGTGCACGCCCGCGCAGTGGCAGCAAAGGATATCGCAACAGCCTTTTATGGACGGCGTTTGCGAAAGAACTCTTGGCGTGTTTGCTCTGTACAGCCCACAAATCTTCCCGAGATCCTGAGCATTTTTTCGCGGGAGACATGAGCTGGTCTGTTCACTTGGTCAATCAGCTCGTTTGACTTGATGTCATAGACATTCCAAATCCTGCTGCCACAAATATATTTAGAATAAAATATATTTAATAATTGAATTTATTTGGAATATGTTTTGAATTTGAAATTATCATGAACTTAAAATAATATAATAGCGCTAAGTGATATTATTATTGTCTTTTTAAAATATGGATAAATTTATAAATTTTAATATTTGAATATATTATTATTTTTTATATTTTGGAAGGAAAAATATATTGAATAAACAAATTGAGGAATATAATTTTAGATAAATATTAAGGAAGAAGGAAATTTTATTTTTTGACATTCTATTTTTGATATTGTTTATAAAATAAAATATATTGATTGATATGTTAATATTGATAATAATTTTGGGGGTGGAAAAGGAATTTTGAATTAAAGGGGGATTTACAGAATTATATTTTAATAGTAACATTATTATATTTATTATATTTATATCTGCAAAATCTATAATGAATTTTGTTATTAAGGATTAGATAGAATGTATATGTATTTGAATAATTGTAGAAATTGAAAGAAATTAATAATAACACTTGTATTTTTATTTATAGTTAATTGATATTGGACATTTGAAAAAATATATAAAATATATTTATGTTAATATTATAAGTTTGTTTATAATAAAAAAAATTTTGCCGATTTTTGTTTTTTAAAGGGAAATTGTATGGGAAGCATGGTAAAAAGAATATAATAATTATATAATGATTTAATAGTTTTCTAATAATTATGTTTATATTTACTCTATAAAACGAAACCGTGAAACTTGCTCGTCGCACTTGTGTGCGTTTTCCCGGACCGCTTTTCCGAAAAATCCCGGATATTTCGGAAAATTGGTCTGGACTGCCCCTGGAAGATGTAACCGCTTCATATTTCCTACGGACCGCTTGCCCAAATCTGTCCGGGCTACCCCGGCATATGTGCGGAAGACATAGTTGCTTCATTTTTTGTAGGGACCCTTGTCCCGAAATATTCCAGATATTTCGGGAAAGCGGTCCGGGAATCGCAGCCATCCACAATTTTCTCGAAATATTCCGAATATTTCGGGGACCATTTACCCGAAATATTCCAAATATTTCGGGAAATGCTGTCGTCGAAATATCCGGAATATTTCGGAAAAATGGTCTGGAGTGCGACTATCGAAATATCCGGGATATGTCGGAAAAATGATCCGAGCTTTGAACGAAGCCGTTGTGTCTTCCAGATAAAGAGTCGGGGCATATATCTGCCTGTCCGTAGCAATTTTGGCTGAAATCTTTGCCCATCTTCCGAGAGTTTGGCGATGCGAGAATCTGTGAGCCGCGGCCGATTGTTGCGACCAGTGGTGTTTTTCCCAATGCTTTGGGCGAAATCAGTTCGGCTTTGCTTGCACCCAGGATGTTTTCTGGTCGGTCGCGTTTTCGCTTGCGCTTGCAACAACTGCGTGTGTGGATCTTTTGAGGCCAACAGCCCGCGGATCCGTTCTCACCTTGCACAGGCGACCGCCTTTCACTGACTCTTTGGCGTGACCTTATCGCGACCAGCCCGGCCCTCAGTGCGTCTCGCGACCTGTGTTTGGAGAACGGCAGCATCCTTTGCGCATGCGAGGAGTATACATTTTTTGATACATATGGGATGATAAAGATGCCTGAGTTGCAAAAAATGTCTCGCCGGCGCGGGCTCTATAAGATTTTCTTTGTTCTTGGCACACCCACCACGGCCTGGACCTTACCCCTAATTGCTGGTTTGGATTGGTGGTTTGGGGATTGAGCCCCTGGATCATGTTGAAGTTGAATGGGAAACCACCCCCTAACCTCCAAAACACCGATCCAAACTACCAATCCAAACCGGGCAAAGAGGCCGCCGAAAACCTGCAACCACCTCCTGGCCGCGGGCCAGAATACAGCCGTCGAGGGCAAGGATAGCGGCGGGGCAGCGCCGAGACAAGCGCGTGGCAAACCGTTGCCAGGGGACAAGCGGCCAGCGGCCGTGTGCAACTGGGGCATGCGCAGCCGAGAGCTCGCGCGCGCGTTCTTGCAGCCCGTCTGAATCACGGCTCTCGGGCTCGGATTCGGACGCGTGCACGTGCGCAGGCGAAGCCTGTGGCATGTCGACATCAGAATCCGGCGCGCTGCGCGCCGGAGGCGTGTCTCTTTTTGTCTCTGTCTCTCTGTCGGTGTCTTTCTCTGTCTCTCTTTGCCTGTTGGTCTCTCTGTCTCTGGTGTCTGTTTCTTTGTCTGTCTGTCTGTCTGTCTGTGTCTGTCTGTCTGTGTCTGTCTGTCTGTGTCTGCCTCTGTCTCTGTCTGTGTTTGTGTCTGTGTCTGTGTCTGTCTGTCTGTGTTTGTCTGTCTGTGTTTGTGCGTCTGTCTGTGTCTGTGTGTCTGTGTCTGTGTGTCTGTGTGTCTGTGTGTCTGTGTGTCTGTGCGTTTGTGTTTGTATGTCTGTGTTTGTCTTTGTGTTTGTCTTTGTTTCTGTGTTTGTTTTTGTTTCTTGTTATTGTCTTTGTTTTTGTCTTTGTCTTTGTTTGTGTTTTGTCTCTGTTTTTTTGTTTGTTTGTTCGTTGGTTTGTGTTTTATTTGAAGTTGATATTGTATAGGTTAATTTTTATGAAGTTATGAAATTTAATTGTATAGGTTAGTTATTATGAGTTTATAAAGTCTAGGGTCCGTTTTTTTATGTTGTCGAAAGAATTAGGAAACTATTGGAAATTATAGGATATTGTGGTTCGGTATATATTTTCTAAGAATAAAGTTTAAAGAGATATTATGATATTCTAATAATGTGATGCTAGAGATTAATGATAGGTGTTATTGGGATATGAAATTTGAAAATTGTTTATTTATTATTTTTGTTTTTGGATACGTTATGTGTTTTTGTTTTGATTGAAAGATTTACGAAGGAATAAAATATATTGTTTAAAGGAATAGAATGATTTATTAGAAATTTGGAATCAAAATTGTTTTTTTCCGACGTTTATATGAACGAATATATTTATGAAGGATTTTTTTTGGGAGATGAAAACATAATTTATTTAGGTTATTGTGTTTGTTTTGTGAGAATGTTGTGATTAGTGGTGTTTTTCTTAATGTTTTGAGCGAAATTAATTTGATTTTATTTATATTTAGGATATGGTGTGGTCGATTATTAATTGATTTTTTTCTTTAATAGACAATTAATTATTTGGTTGTTATCGGGCACCTGAGGCATTTTGTTGATTTGTGCATCGTTTGTAGTATTTGAGGAAGTATATTGAGGTGTTGTTGAGAATTTTTATTTATAACTAATTCGTTTTTAGATATTTGGATTTCTAGAATTGGGTTTCGAGTCCAATCTAATATATATTCTTTCGAAATATTTTATTTTGGTAGGGCGTGAAATAAAATCTTAAAATCGTAATGAATTATTTTCCGAATTCGTTTTGTGTTAAACATTTATTCGGTCTATGTATTTGTATTTTCATGAATATAATTACATATATTTATTTACAATTATTGAAATTGGAATGTTATTTTATTTTATGTGTTTCTCTTATTATGGGTTTTATCTCGTACGCTGCTGGAAAGCAACGGACCCCCACTAGTATCTTTTATATTTTAAATTGCATAATAATTAACATGATATATCCTTAACATTACCATTAATTATCATAATAATTATTTACTATTATTGAAATCGAAAAAAAGAATTGATGCTAAATAACGTGACGTTATCATTACCGTCTTTGTAGTTGGAAGCTGCAATTGGGGGCAATTGCAATTTATGTTGATATGGGCCTCTTTTTGCACGCTTTTGATAATCGATTCATTTGTAGTTGTTGACTTTAGGCTTGGTACATTGGTCATTGTGCAACTTGAGTGATGAGATATGACTTGGCTTTTGGCTCATAGGAAATACAGAAAAGGTTACGACGATCATAAGTTAGCTTTGGATTATGCTCCTCCGAAATTTGCTCGGATGAGCATGTCAACAACTAGTGGAATTGGCCCATTACACACGCAATCAATATCATTATCAGCGCCATCATTATCCAGTATTAGTTTCTTCTGTATACTTGAAGTGTGGCATTAGGTTCAATTGGGGATATAAAGGATACTACGATGATATTTATGATCACAATCTCTTAGGCCAATTGGTGATGCACAGGATGCGTTAGTGATGCAGGCGATATTACGACGATAATTATATTTGTGTTAGACTATGCTTAATCGGATGATTATATGTTCGTTATCAGCTGATGGAATTAACTAGTTAGACACATGATTATCATTATCCTTCTCACCATTATCGTCTAGTATGATTTTCTTCTGTATATTTGAAGTGTGGCGCTGTGATGATTATCCTCGTTATTATTAGAGATTCTAAAGATGCGTAGCGATGGTGATCATCGTCAATAATAAAAAATCAAATATCCTGTTTTGCGTTGCTGGAGGTGCTAAAGATACATAATATTAATTATTATATCGTTATTAGAGATATTAAAATGCATAATGATAATCTGGCGATGCTATGGCTACGTAGTGGTAATCATCCCCTTTGTATTCTTATTATATATATTTTACAAATCATGTTAGACCCAATTGGAGATGCCGGCGATACGTAGTGATACTTATCATCATCCTGAAAATCACTGCTGGAGATACTACGGATGCATGGTGATCATTATCATCATGCCGCTGGAGATGCTAGGGGTACATACTAATAATCGTCATCGCTGCTAGGACTCGTCACGAGGATCGTGGCCAGAGATGCTATAATTACGTAATGATAATCGCCTTTATACTCTTATTATATATTAGAGAAAACCCGTTAATTCCATTAATGGCAATATCAACAAAACAATCAAAAAGGAAAAAAAAAGAGAAAAAAAGAAAGAGAGAAAGAGAGAGAGAAAAAAGAACATAAAAGAGACAAAGGGCAAAAGAAAAAGATTAAGAAGAAAAAAAAAGGAGAAAAAAAAAGCAACAATAAGAAAAATAAAGAGAACAAATAACAACCAAATTAGAGGAAAAAAAGAAAAAGAGAAAGAGAGAAAAATAAGAACAGA